ATCACGACATTCTCGACTTCAGGTGCTTGACCCCCGGCCTGAACACAGAGCGCCGCCAGTCGACAGCGGCCCAAGGAAGAGATACGGACCCGTGGGGTTCCTCACCGTCTGGCGCTTTGCTGCAGCTAATCAATCAAGTTCCGACCCGCCCTTGTTAAGGGGAGGATGTCACATCCCCACTGTGGCTCCCAGGGCTTTGTGTTCAGAGAAAGAGCTGGGAAGGCCAGGGAGGCAGCTCGTGCTGGAATCTCTGCTCCTCGTGTGCGAGACCCAGGCTTCTGCAAAATCAAGAAAGAAAAGAAAAGGAAATCTCATCCACGGCCATGATCCAGAGACTCGGAAATAAACTCCCTGAAGAGAGCAACAGAGGCCTGACCCATGAGTGAATCTGTTGTATAATTGTATCCTGAATTTTAGAATTCCCGGAGCAAAGGCAACCACGCGACCTCTCATACCCTACGCCACTGATGTGCCAAGAGTAACACGCAACATTTGATGGGTTTTAACAGGCATGTTAGTAATCTCTTATGCAAGGGCTTAATGGCTCCAGGATGAACTACAACAATCTTCACACACGAAAGGAAAGGAAAGGAGAGGAAAGGAAAGGAAAGAGGCTGCAGAGATAGCACAGTGGGTCAGGTGCTGGCTTTGCACGCGGTGAACCTGGGCTTGATCCCCGGCATCCCATATGGTCCCCCAAGCACTGCCAAGAGTAAACCCTGAGCATCACCAAGTGTGGCCTTGGGGGAAAAAGAAGGAAGAAAGAAAGAGAAAGAGAAATTAATTTAAAAGGAGGAGGAGGAGAAGAGGAAGAGAAATAAGGGGAAGAGGAAGAGAAGGTGAGGAGGAGGACCTGACTTGGAAGGGGAGGCCAGACTGGCCCTGTTCATTTTGGTTCTCTAAACCCTCAGGGTCTGTGCTTTTCTGGTTCTCTAGTTTCCTGGCGCCCCCCCCCCCCCCCCCCCCCCCGGGAATGAGCTACCAGCCTGCCAATAAACCCTTTTTTTGTGCGAAAGCTCGGCAGATCTACTTCCTGGGACTTGCACTGAAAAAACCCGGGCTGGCCCGGTTGGGGAAAGATCAAGCGTCCTACAGCCAACACGAGTGATTCACTCCTTGGATACATGCATGAGGGGCAGGAGGAGGGCGAGGCAGGATGGGCTTGGCAAGTGAGTTCAGGGGGTGCTCGCCTGGGAGGCAGGGAAGAGCCTCAATAATGCCCCTCCACCCTGCACTCCCAACCTTCACCCCCACAGAGCACTGTAGCACAGTCCTCCCGTTGTTCATGGATTTGCTGGAGTGGACACCAGTAACGTCTCCATCGTGAGACTTGTTGTTACTGTGTTTGGCATATTGAATACGCCACGGGGAGCTTGCCAGGCTCTGCCATGCGGGTGGGATAGTCTCGGTAGCTTGCAGGGCTCTTTCAGAGGGACGAAGGAATCGAACCTGGGTCGGCCGCATGCAAGGCAAACACCCTACCCGCTGTGCTATCGTTCCAGCCCAACCCCCACAAAAAAGAGGGGGAAAATGTCTTAGAGAACCAAGAAAAGATTCCAGGTCCACTGTGTGATCATGGGTTGGAGCGATAGCACAGCGGTAGGGCATTTGCCTTACAAGTGGCCAACATGGCCGACCCGAGTTCGATTCCTCCGCCCCTCTCGGAGAGCCCGGCAAGCTACTGAGAGTATCTCACCCACACGGCAAAGCCTGGCAAGCTCCCCGTGACGTATTCGAGATGCCAAACACAGTAACAATTGTCTCAATGGAGACGTTACTGGGCCCGCTCGAGAAAATCGATGAACAACGGGAGGACAGTGACAGTGACTGTGTGATCATGGAAGGACCCCCCACCCCCAACATCCGCCCCCCCCCAACACCCATCTATGTGGCGGCACTTCATCAGACAGAAGGTCAAGGTTCCTCCGGCCACCGAGACCTGGGAAGAGCCAGGCAGAGGCCACGTCCACTCACCTGCGCCTCCCGCATCACTTCCCCAGCCACGACTCAGGCAGCGCCAACAGGCAACGGCCGCCAGGCTGGGCCCGGAAGCTAAGCTGGGGCCTGTGAGTGTGGGAGGCAGGGGGGAGGATTCAGGGGGGCTGCTGGCAGCCTGGCTGCAGTCCTGCCTGGGTTAACCATTTCCCTCCCCCCTTCCTTCCTCCCAGCACCGTCCCCTGCCTCCCACACTCACAGGGAGTAAAGGACAGTGGCTGAGACCCGGGGGAGGCAGCTTCCAAAGAGGGGACCCGCTGTCTGCTCTGGTGTGATGGGACAAGAAGTGTGGAGCCTGGCGGACAATCCTGGGGGAGGGGGCAGTGGGGGTGGGCACGGGGGAATCCCCACCTGGTTGTAATTCCTCGTTTGTCAAAGGGTGAGGATGCTAACAGCGCAAAATAATAAATAATAAGAATAGCACAGAGAAGGATGCGATTGCGAGCCGGAGCTCCCCAGCCCCGCCCCGAGCAAACCTCTATGAAAGCCACCAGCAGCCAGCAACGTGCTGTGACCCAGGACCGGGCACACTGGAGCCACGCTTTTGTCAGGAGAGTTTTGCAGGGGCTGGAGGGATAGTCCAGCGGGTACCACTTGCATATCATCGCTGACCCGGGTCTGACTCCGGCATCCCATCTGGCCCTCCCAGGCACCACCAGGAGTAATTCCTGAATGCAGAGTCAGGAGGAGTTAAGCCCTGAGCATGCCGGGTATGCCCAAAACAAATAAACGTATAAGCACTGTATCACTGTAGCACTGTCCTCCCGTTGTTCATTGGTTTGCTTGGGCAGGCGCCAGTAACATCTCCATTGTGAGGACGTACATTGTGGTTACTGTTTTTGGCCTATGGAATACGCCACGGGGAGCTTGCCAGGCTCTGTGGGTGGGATACTCTCGGTAGCTTGCTGGGCTGTTTGAGAAGGGCGGAGGAATTGAACCCGGGTTGGCCATGTGCAAGGCAAACACCCTACCTGCTGTGCTATTGCTCCAGCCCAAACATATAAGTAGCACTGTCCTCCCGTTGTTCATCGGTTTGCTCGAGCAGGCCCAATAATGTCTCCATTGTGAGACTTTGTTGTTACTGTGTTTGGCATATCGAATACGTCACAGGTAGCTTGCCAGACTTTGCCATGCGGGTGAGATACTCTCGGTAGCTTGCCGGGCTCTCTGAGAGGGGCAGATGAATTGAACCCGGTTTGGCTGGGCTGGCTTGCACGCAAGGAAAATGCCCTACCGCTGTGCTATGGCTCCAACCCCAAACATATAAGTAATTAAGAAAAATAGTTTTACTGGAACAGGGTCCCAGGCCTTTGGATGCAGATGGCAGCAGCTTGCACAGGGCTGGCCACAAGCAATGACTGACTCCAACTCCAGCTGTGATGCTCATGGTGACTTAGTGTCGGCGCCCCTGAGCTGCGGGGGAGGGACTGTTGCATCTCCCAAGCAGTGCTCAGGAGCCTTAGGGTTTCTCCCAAGCAATACTGGGCTCACCAGAGAGGTGAGATCAGAGATGCTGAGCTCCTTGGAGCCAGGACACAGTCGAGCCTCCCAGGCTGTGTTTGGTACCCGAGGGCCATGGGGTGCCTAGGATGGAGCCTCAGTGGGGCACACCCCCAAGTTACCTGCAGGACCCCCAGGCATCATTTCAGTCACTAGCAAAGTAGAACCCCCCCTTCCCCCATGAATCAGCACCCATCAAAGGTCTTTGCAGACAGCAAGTTGCCAGGAAGCCCAGGGGTGAAGTGTTTGCTTCCCACTCCAAGCACCCTTTGTTTTTTATTGGGTCACTGTGAGATAGACTCTTACGGAGCTGTTCATGATTAGGCTTCAGTCGTACAGTGTTCCAACACTCATCTCTCCACCGGTGTGCATTACCCAGCACCAGTGTTCCTAGGTTCCCTCCCATCATCCTCTATGGCAAGCAAATTCCTTCTCTTTCTCACTCCCTCTCTCTCCCCCTCTTTCCTCTCTCTCTCCCTCCTCTCTCCTCTCTTTCCCTCCCTCTCTCCCTCCTCTCCTCTGTCTCTCTCCCATCACCTCTCCTCTGGCTCCCTCATCTCCTCTCTCTCTGTCTCCCTCCTCTCTTGAAGGACCCTAATTTGATCACCCCACATGGTCTCCCAGCACTGCCAGGAGTGATCCCTGAGTGCTGAGCAAGAACTAAGACCTGTGCCCCGCAGGATGTGGCCCCAAACCCAAAACCAAAAAAGAAAGTGCCAAAGAAAGGGTCTCTTTGCTGAGTATCTGTAAAATGCACAACAAAATAACTGCACACGCACGCACGCGCACCCACCCACCCAGCCACCCACACACATACGCACGCACGCACGCACACCGTCCAAGGAGCTGGCATCTCTGCTCGTGCCTGGTCCGGGGCCCGTGCATGTGCCCCATTTAGCCCCGTTTGCACCCCCCGGGGCGGCGCCCCCCTCGAGCGAGGGGCGCTGAGTCTGCAGCAGCGGCGCTGGCGCGGCGCCCGGCCCGGTCCGCTCGGCAGGTGCGCGGGCAGCGCCGCCTCCCACGGGTGCCCACCGACGGCACCGCCGCGCGGAGCCCTCTGCTCAGCTCGGCGCCCACGGCCAGCCCTGGGTGCCGGTATAATTAGCTCCGGCGCGGCTGCTCGCAGCCTCTGACACGGCTGTCACCTCCCACCAGCTCCGAGCCCAGGTGTCCCCCCCACCGGGGAGCCGGCTGGGCGCGGGGCCCCGAGCATCGCCGAGGACCGAAGCCTTCTCCTTATTAGAAAAGCCCGGAGAAACGCCTGGTGGGCGGAGGCTGGAGGTGGTGGCGGCGGCGGGCTGGACCCGCGGCCTCTCTCTCCCCTTGCCGGGAAGTGTCCCTTCCCGGGGACCTGCCCCCAACGGCGGGAAACGCGCCTGTTCCTTTAAGAGGCCTCCACCGAGGAGGGGGCGGGCGCTGCCGGCGTTTCCCGGGCACCTGCGCCCGCCCCCTTCTGACTGACAAGCACGTCGTCCAATCGGAGAAAGAAAAGTCAGAAGTGACGGCTCCACGGAGCAATAGGAGTCCGCCTTGGCGCGCGCGGGGCGGAGCCCCCCGGAAGGCGGGGCCGGGCGGAGGCTGCGGGAGCCGCGGCGGGGAGGGACCCGGGCGCGCGCGATCCGGGCCTAGGTCGGGACCCTGGTGAGTTGGGGGGCGTCGCGGGGGCCGGGGTCGTGCGGGCCGCCTGAGCCGCCAGGCCCGAGGGATGCAGGGAGGACAGGCCGAGCCGGGAAGGCGAAGGGGGCGGAGGCTGCGGCCTGCTGCTGTCCGGAGGACCGAGGGGCTGGACCGGGCGGGCCTGGGCTGCACCGCGGCGCTTCCTCGGGTCCCCGAGGGGTCGCGGCCCAGCCGGTGGGGGTGGGGGTGGGGGACCGGGTGGGACGCAGGGGGCGTCTCCAGGACGGCCAGGACAGGGCGTCGGGTGCAGGAGAGGCCGGGCCAGGCCTGGAGGGACCGGGGCGGCGCCGGGCAGGGGCGTGGGGTGGGGGGAGGTGGGAGTCGGAGCTCGGGGGGCGCGGCCAGCGGACGGGGCAGGGCTGGGGGACCCCAGTCCAGAGCCAGCCCCCCGGTTCGTGCGTGCATCGCTGCCCGCCCTGCACCCCGCTGCACGCCGCCCATCAGGATCGCCGCCGTCCTGTCGCGCCTGCTCCACGGGGCGATCCATCAACCGATGGGGGCTCGGGAGACCCCCGTTCTCCCCCACTGCGCCTCTCCCAAGTTCAGCCCGGGCCGGGCCGTGGAAGGGTTCTGACCCGCTCTGCCCCGGGCCCTGCCCTCCAGCCAGCCGGGCTGATGCACCCAGAGCCCCGGGAGATCTTTGCAAAATGCAAATCAGACCCGCCCCCGCGCAGCCCGGAGCTCGCGCGCGCGGAGCTGGCCGGCTGCTGTCCACGGCCGCGCGCGGGGCCTCACCCCCGTCCTCGCCCTCTCCCGGGAGACCGGGCCCGCTGACCTCTCCAGGCTCGGGTCACTGATCCCTCTTGCCCAATCCTCTCCTGCAGTGACCTTGCCCGCTTCCTTCTTAATACCGTGCGCGCGCGCTGGGTCTCTGTGCCTCAACTTACCTCCCCATACATACCTCGGTCTCTGTGCCTCAGCTACTCCACCTCCACCCCCCACTCACCCCAGGCCGCTCCTGGGGCCAGTTTGGACCCAGTAAACCCCTTCGCCCTTCAGACTTCACGAGGTATCAGCTTCCTTAGTCCCCAGCTCTCTGACAAGTGAGCACCCGACTAGGCACCGTGGTGGGCTGGCAAGTACAGTGGGCAGGGCGCTGGGCTGGCATGCGGTTCACCCAGGATCCACCCCCCACCCCATCCCATATGGTCCCTGAGCCCTGCCAAGAGTGATCCCTGATCTTTGAAAACAAGTGTGTGAAGACAACACTTGTTTTCTTCCTCCCAACCTTATAATAATAAGATTTTATTGCAATAAGAGATAATAGACTGGGAGCGTCTGGTTTTGCTTCTGGTAGCTCCTGTCTCTTACCTAGGGCCAGGCACTGGGGATGTCTGTCTTTTTTTTTTTTTTTTTGGCTTTTTGGGTCACACCTGGCGATGCTCATGGGTTACTCCTGGCTCTGCACTCAGGAATTACTCCTGGCGGTGCTCGGGGGACCCTGTGGAATGCTGGGGATCCAACTTGGGTTGGCCGCATGCAAGGCAAACGCCCTACCCGCTGTGCTATCGCTCCAGCCCCAGCACTGGGAATGTCTTGGAAGAACTGGGTGGAGGGCTGGGATCTGACTGAGGGGAGGCTGGGAGGAGGAAGCTGGCCCGCAAGCCCAGTGAGGGCTCTCTGCTGGAGCCCCGCTGCCCGGCAGAAGTAGGGTGCCACCAGGTAATTTACAGCTTTTTAGTAACTGCCTTTGCAAAGTGAAAAGAAACTGGTGGAATCAATCTTCATAATGTATTTTACTTCGCCCGGTAGTTTTCAAAATAATGTTATTTGGGGCATGTAATCGATATAACAACATTGTTTATGAGATTTTTCTCACTTTGCGCGTGTGTGAGAGCATGTGTGTGCTCCGTCTTTGCCATCTGGGGTGTGTGTGTGTGTGTGTGTGTGTGTGTGTGTGTGTGTGTGATGCTTCGAGCCCATCTGGGATGTGTGTTTGTGTGTGTGTGTGTGTGTGTGTGGTGTGATGGGATGCTTTGAGCCCATCTTGGTTCTTGAAGCCACAGTGCTCTGTGAGGCCGAGCATGTTGTAACCTGGGGTGTTTAACCCTCCCCCCGTATAGTCTTTGGAGGTTATTATTATTATCTGCATTTTACTAGTGAAAATAAGGAGGCTCCTAAGAGTTCTGCTGTGGGTCACCCATCATCTTCGAGGGGGCGGTATTTAAACTTGCCCACCCCCCCATCTGTGAATCAGAAACGTGGTCTCGTTTACACTTTATGGTACTTTAGAAGGTGTTGGGGATGTTTGGCGGTATGGGAAATGGGGGTGCGTCGTGGGTGTGGGGAGCTGCCTCGTTCCCACTCTCCTGAGGGGAAAACCCTGCAAAGTGAGTCCTGTTTGACCCAATCCCCACTCCTGACCCAGCCTGCACCTGCTCGGGTGGTCCGGGGAACTGGGAGGTGGGGGTGGGAGGATGTCTGTGTGCCCCCACCCCTCCCGAGGCAGCACCCGCAGATGTCGGCTTGAGTTAACTGTCTGACACTTCGGTTCAGCAGTGCTTCCTTTTTTTTTTTTTTTCAAGCCTCGAAACACATGAGTTTATTTATTTATTTTTTATTTTTTTTGATTGACAGTTTTGAATTTTAAAATTCAATTTTTAAAATCTTTTTTAAAATTTTTATTAGTGGAACACCATGAGGTACAGTTGTAGACTTACAAATTGTTGTGCTTGGGTTTCAGTTATACAATGATCAAGTACCCATCCCTCCACTAGTGCCCATTCTCCACCACCACTGATCCCAGTATCCCTCCCGCCCCCCCATCCCCCCACCCCACCCTGCCTCTGTGTCAGGGCACTCCCTTTTGTTCTCTCTCTCTCCTTTGGGTGCTGTGGTTTACAAAAGAGGCAATGGGTGGCAATCATGTTCGGTCTATAGTCTACTTTCAGCATGCATCTCCCATCCTGGGCGGATCTTCCCAACACCCTTTATTTGGTGCTCCCTTCTCTATCTGAGCTGCCTTTACCCCAGCAGTGCTTCCTGAGTGAGGCCCAGCCCTGTCCCAGGCACCCAGGGTGCTGGGCCGAATCAGTCCAGGCCGTGGGGCGTCCACGGTGCAGGCGGAAAGGCCAGAGCGGGTCCCAGAATGGTGGGGTGACAGGAGGTGCAGCCGGAGGCTGCAGTGACCACCTAGCCCAGCCGCGGATGTGTTAGATTTGCGTTAGGTTTGAGTTTCGCCTCCACTGGGCTCCCGAGTGGGCGTTCCACATCCCCCCGGGGCCAAATGCAGCCAGCACTGGTGGGCCCACCTAGCCCCGTTCCTCCTGGCCTGCCTTCACATCTGCCCGCTCTCCTTCTGTCAGGGTGGGGTGCCTGGAGGCGTGTGGGGGCGCGGCTTCTTTCTGAGGTTGGGAGGTGGCGTGCCCGAGTACCCAGTTTCTGCCACTTGGGCGTTGTGCGGAAGCGCTTCCAAGGATGGGCCGCCCCGTAAGGTTCACTGCGGGGTTTGCCGGCGCCCGTTCACGGAGAAGTTTGATCTGGGATCCCAGGAAGCGCCCCCGCTGCCCTCTTCTCTCGGTCAAGCTGGGACAAGACCCAAGAGAACCAGAGCAGGGCCGCGGACAGTCTGTTCCGGGCCAGTGTCCTGTGGGCCGAGGGAGGGTCAGGCCTGATGGGAGGGTGGGCAGGGGCGGGGACTACTCGGCCTCTTGCCCCTGCTGGGCAGGGTGGCCCAGCCGGCTCTCTGGACCGCAGTTCCCTGCTGTATAAAGCAAGCGGCCTGGCTCCCTTTCCGGCGAGCACAATGCCCTGTTGTTGGGTTCTGTCCTGAGCCGGCCCCGCACCCCGGGATTTCCGCCCTCGCCTGGGGCGCTTCTCAGCTCCCCAAAGAAGCAGAGCTGTGGGAAGGGACACGGCAGCTCAGAGTCCGTCCAGGCTGGACCCCCTCGTGCCTTCTGGGTCTGATGCAGAGGGACGTGGGTGCTAGTGTTTATCTCTGAAGCGTCGGGCGTCCCAGGATCTGGCCCTGGTGAGCACCGTTTTCTGTTCACTAGGGCTCGTGTCTTCTGGAGAGCCTCTGGGGAGGTGGGATTTCACGGGCCCCACCAGGCCAGGCACTGCACTGCAGACCTCAAGGAAGAGTGGGGCAGGAAGGTGGCTTGGTGACGTCCTGCTCTCGGCACTGATGGGTGCTGAGTCCCTGGCCACTGGGGGGGGTGCTGACCAGAGCGCAGGGTGGGTGTGGATGACACCCTCGCAGAGGTGAGAGCCCCTTGGGGCTGCTCCATGCAGTGAACCGCCCTCTGAGCTGAGAGTAACACACCATGGAACTGGTCAGGGAGGGCTGCAGTCAAGGATCCCACACAAGCCACGGGACCGACCAGGGAGAGCTGAGAGGAAGGAGCCACGAACCTTGCGCAGGGAGCGTTCAGAGTAACGGAACTGGCCAGGGAGGACCCAGAGCAAGGAGCGAGTTCCCTTGCCCTGAGGGGTGGGCCCCCCCCCCCCCCCCTCTGTGTCGTGACCTGTGGCTCTGTGGCTCCGACAGGCTGCTGAGTAGGGAAAGCAGAGCCCGGGGCAGTGCTCGAGGGAGGCGCCCTGCTCCCCTCCGCCCACTTCCTCAGCCGACTCCTGCCCGACTCTGTGACTGTTAATCCTTGTCCCATGTGTCCCACGTTGATTCCCCTCCAGGATCCACCAGCCGCCCCCTGGGGTCCTCGCCCCTCTCCGCCCTTCTGGCCGCAGGTCCATTCCCGGCGCCTCTGCCCACCCCGTCCCCCTCCTCCGGCCCTCAAGCCTTGTGCCTCGCTCTGTGGTCTGCAGGGTCACCTCTGAGGTAGGGACTGTTGGAGGGAAACTGTCCACAAGCGGCGGGGTGCAGCGTCTGGGGTGTCACCTCCCGGGGGTGGCGGGGTGCGCTGTGGCAGGAAGCACAGACCAGACCTTCCCACCCACCCCCCGCCCCCCAGTGCCCTCTCCCCCACCCGCCCCGCCGAATCAAAAGCAAAAGTGCCATCGAGCA